AGGCAGTTTCACTTCACAGTGGAAGTAAGAAGAAAATAAGAGGGATGATGGCATTCCACCAAGGGAGTTAAACATAAAAATATGATTTTTAAAAGAGGAAAGAAATGGAAGGATTGCTTGAACAAGGAGGAAGAGGAAATACTAGAGAGAACTTGCAGTATCTGGATCTTTGCAGAATCTTCAGCTGGGGTAAAGTGGTACAAACATTGATACTACCGAGACATCAGTCTCTACTGGCTTACGTCTTCTCCTCTAGGCATTTTAGTGCTTAAGAAAATTTTAACTTCAAATCCTTTAAAGTTGTAGAGGAAAAGGTCCAGATTCATTCCACCTAACTTGATTCCCCAAAGTGCCCTAAGTTAGGAGCCTGCATCACTCAAGCGTTACATTCTGTCAGTGGAGAGGGATGGACACACGTGTAGGCAATTTATCCTTTCACAGGGAGCCACTCTATTGATGTGAAACTCTATGAAGGAATGAGGCCTTTGGCCATTTAAATCAAATTCATGTTATATTGTAGTACAGAATCATAATGAAGAAAGCCACAGGAAATTTAGCTACTGTAGGGCCTCAACTGCCTGTCATCCTTCCTCGCTTGTGTCAACAAGAAGTACAAAAGTTGTCAGAATAAATTATAATTAAAAGGGGAGATGTCATAGCAGATTATTCAGCTTTATGGAATATTTCATAATACCAAATATCATAAAAGTTAGTTTTTGAATTTCTACACATCCACTTTTGTTTTTATTATTCTTACAGACTACGACAAGGAAAACCAGAAAAACGTCAGTTTAATTTTGTACTCAAGCATCCTTCTGAAAAAGAAAGGAAAAAAGAGGTGATGCTAGCATTAGAAAAGTTTTTTACAGTTCTCTTAAAAATAGGTCAGTGTCTAGCCAAGTGAAAATTGTGAGACTGTGTTAGATTTGAGCTGAAGGTTCTTACGCTGGTCCCAGTGGGAGCAAGAAAAGTGTAAAAGAAAACTGACTGTAGGAGTTTGTTTCCCTGGGATTTTCTTTCTTTGCCTAAACTAGATATTTTACTTTCTGAATTGTTGTCATTTGATGCTACCCTTTCCACTAAACTTGAAATGGAAAAAGTTTGGGTTTTGGAGTTAAGAATAGATGCCTTACATTAGGAATCACCTGTGACTTCAGTCACCTAAAGAACTTATCTGTACTCTCAAAAATGAAGAAAAATAGCACAGAAAAATGTCGACTGAATAATTTTGGATTCTGTTTCACCTGCACTGCATGACAGATCAGAAGTATACTTCAGAAATATTTTTACAAAAAGTCTAGATGGCTTTGTGTCTATTTATGAAGCATGAAGCAGTAAAAGTTATGGTTCCTCTTACATATTTATACTAGTTGTTCAGTTTGTATACACTGTAAGACTTGATGGATGACTGAAGAACTGGTAATATTCTGTCATTAGAAAACTCAGATGATAGGAAGAAAAAAAAAAATCTTAAATTAAAAATATAATGATCCAGCTATAGTATCCTATTACATTGCTTGGAAATACTATTTTTCATTGTGCAGGGTGTTTTCAGCAGTTTTATAGGCTTTCATAAAATCTCAGGCAACCTGCAGGAAAACTGCAGGGTCATCTTTTTAAAGATTAAAAAAAATGATGTCAGTGAAAATAGGGAACTTTTGTGGGGTTTGGTTCTTCAGTAGAAACATTCTCAAATCTGTTTTTCCCTTTGCAAGTATCTGTAAAGAGTTGAAAGTATGACTTGATGAAAGAACAAGTGTATTTGCCTTTAAAAAAGAGTCTACGTTGAAAACTGGGTGCATTTGAAATCAAAAAGACAACTTTTTCCAATATAGCAGGATGCCTAAAGTGAGAGGTGAACAGGGATTTTTTTTTTTTTTTTTTCTGTTCACAGAGGGAATATTAGTCAGAAATACTTAAAAGCTACCTCAGTCAAGTGGATCAGTCTTTTAAAATCATGATTTTAAAAATATCTGGATGGATGTGAAGTTTTAGTTTTTACTTTTGAAGGATAGCAGTGAAGACTATTTATATGAAGGGGAAAAAAAGGTAGCAAAAACTTCTGTATGCAACAAACCAACCAAAGTAAGGGTTTAAATACTTGTGTTCTGCAGATGTGTATTAGTTTGCAGTCTTGAATTGGGAAGATATGACATCATACTTGGCACGGTCAGTAATGATGTGGTCTGTATCTAGCAGTTTGAATATGGCTCCAAGGCTCAAGACCTGCTAATTCCAAGTAGTTTTAGTCTTTATCTGGAATCTACCAATCTAAGGATCTGTTGTATGGCAAAAAGTAATAGTAGGCAACTGGGATCATTCATATTCTACTGAATCTCCAAAAGCAGAAAGCTTTACTAACAGAACTTTTTGCACCCACACAATGATCTACAAAGACAAATCTGGCAATTTTTGGTTTCTTTGTGTCTTGGCAATTTCCTGAAGCATTTCAGCCCATTGAATTTATTTCATTTAGCAGAGTACAGCAGCTGGTTGATTCTTTCCACCCGAAAGTTTAAGAAATGTAGTTATGCACATTGTTTCATTGTTTTTGCTCTGCCCCATAAGGAGCGTTGCACATTCCTGCAAGGGCATGCAAGGGAGAAATAATTCAACAGCGTACAGAACATAAAAGGCCGCTCTTCCTTTTTTTTTTTTTTCCAGTTTGCTTTTACAGAAGCTTCAGTATTTGTTTCTAAGGCAAAGACATTTTTATGTGAAAGACCTTTGCTGATACAGTGCTGATTAGACTAGTGACAATTTCCTGCCTCTGGAGGAAGGCATAGTATTTATTTAACCCATAGCATTCTAGTCTGTCTGAATTTCCCCTGTGTCTTTAAGTCTGAAAAGGTATGAAACATTATAAGTATTTTTATGCTAAAAGGAATCTAGCATGCTGAGCAGAATCTAGAGTCTGAGGAAATACGTCTCTAAACTAGGTAATATCTATGGGCTTAATGGGCTGAATAGCTTGGCTGTTCTGTGCATTGCATGAAATATATGGCAATAATATGTATCCCTCAGCATAAGAGTATTGGGGTTTCATTTATTCATTTTTTTTTCAATAAATTTGGAAATCCTCAACTGGATTCCAAAAAAAGACTTGAGGTCTTTTAGTCTATTCCTGAGCAGCTTCAAACTACCCTAAAATGATATACAGATGAGGGAAGGAAATAAAAGGGACATAAAAAGAATAAAATTGAAACACATGAATATTTTACAGTGTGTTTGCTAGTCACAGTTGGAAAAATGTGGCGCGACACTACGTTTGCATGCTTTATTAATTCTTAGCACTTTGAATGTGCATAACATTGCACCCCATTAACTGTTTGTTAACTTTAAAGGCGATAGTTCCAAGTGAAAACTAGAATACTTGCTGAAGTCAATTACTTCAGTGCCTCAGAGGAGCTAGTTGTTTTTCTTCAGGTGTCTCTGACTGTTAGAATCTCCAAATCATTAGTAATGGCAATATACATACTTATTACCATCTCTTTAATGTACTTTCCCCATGTAAAAAGTCTTTTTCCTTTTCTGTCAGTCAGCTTGGAGGAAAAAAAACGTATGCCAAAGAGCCTGTTTATAAAATAGAAAGGCATCCTGCAGGAGCACTCTCTCGCAGCACAGATTGTGCGGGTATCCTTTTTCCAGTCATATCAGAAATTCTGAAAAAGTGTATTCAGGGCTCACTGTGGGGGGGGAAAAAAAAAATCGCTTTTCTGTTAATCACATGGTTTTGCTACTTTACTGCTGAATGTAGGTTGCTAGGGTTTTTTTTTTTTTTAATTATTTGTTGTTATTGAGGATGTAGTTGTTTTTACATTTGTATTGTATATATTCTCTGCATGTCCAAGCATAACCTTTGCAAAGGCAGAGTCTAGCAATTTGGAGAAAAAGAAAAAAAAAAAAAACAGAAAAGATAATCCACACTTATGAGGGCTATGAAATCACCAGCTAAAATATATCAAGCACTGAGGAGAATCACCGGGATTTGGCATTTTAGTGAGAACCTGGGAACCAGCTTTTCCTCTCCTCATCTAGGTTAAACTACAACAGAGCAATTTTTTTTTCTTTTTTTGGGGGGGGGGAGGCAGGGGGGGAGATCTAAGCTGGCTTTTGCATTCAGAATTCCTCACAGATTACTGAGAATATTAGCAGATATATTACAGTTTAACTTTTGAAGCTGCTTTTACGTTAAAGGTTTGATTAGAAAAGGGATAGAAGAGCATAGCAATGTGTGCTCTGGGGTTCTGCTTCACCTGCATTCCATTGTAATGCAACAGTGTCAGCTCTTGCCTTCCTTTGTAAACTCTGCTTCTGAGTTTTGCTATATTTAGCTTCTATATAATGTGTAGTAGTGGGGGGCAGTATTAAACTTTTTTTCATTAAGGAGCATTTAAAACCATGTCTCTAAATAAATGAGTAGAACCTGGTTCTGCTCTTTCCATTAGAGACTGTTTCTCCAAACATCAAACAACATAAACTACATTAAAATCCAGTGCTTTTCAAATGATAATATCAAGGATTTTAGGTGTAATATATTTTCCATATTAACACCAAACAAACTGAGCAAGCAGAAACATTTCCCTTCCCTGGACTTGGTTCCATGGTCACAGCATGACAACAGCCACAGAAAACATATAAAACTCTCAGAATTTTCTCAGCAAAATTTTTGTGGGAGCTATTTTCATCAGAAAAACTTTCTACAAGCTCTTGGGAGTGATGAAAGCAAACTTTTCTGAAGCAAGGTAATATGCCTGTTTTTAACGAAGAACATAGGTGCGCATGCACCTAAATATATATATCAGTTCCTGCATAATATATAGTCATCAAAAGGACGCTGAAACATTCTATTTCTACAAGGAAAGAGTTATGAAAGAATTCCTTATTGCTTTATTTACTTAATGAAAGGGGAGGAAAAGGATTAGTATTTATCTTCTTTTTTAGGAGGTACCTTGAAATAGCCAGTTGAATATACCACAGACACTACTGAAATACTTGCATAAAGACATTTTATTATAAATGTAAAGTATATGTATTTTTTTTTTTAATCTGAGGTGCTTATACAAAGAGGCCCATATCAGTTGAATGATACCATGTTAGTTTGCAGGGCATGAGAGCGGTTGAACACCCTTCAGCTCCAAAGCTTTGCTGAAGTTAATCTCTTGAGGTTTAGCAGTACCCTTGGTGAGCTTCAGAAATCGAATACATCCTTTAAAACGGATGTTTGTGGTCAGCCCAAACTGGTTCAGGCCATCTGAGAGAGGGGGAAAAAAGGCAAAAGGAATTATGTAAGTTTGAGTTGACACTTAAGTTTGTTCTACAAGAGTCTTGCAGAACAGACTTCCCCAGAAATATATTTTCTTATCTTTTTATTTGCTCTTTATCTTCTTTATTCAAAAAGTGGCAAATGTTATGACTGAATGTGATATATGCTTGAGTTAGCGACAACAGTCTACTTTCCTTCTCCTTTCCCAGCATAACAGTGGCAGAATCTGAACACATGTAAACTGCTATGGTAAACCATGTAACTCAGTTACATGATAAAGGAAATAAATTAAGCAAAATGGCCAAATGCCAGCTTGCAACCTACAAATGGTGTACAATGTGTACATACTCATCTGCAAATCTCCAACATCTCCTCTACTTACTTACCCACAGAATAACAGTGCAAAAGAAGGCCAAAATGGATGCAGTTCTCTTTAGCCCTAACATCATGAAACAGGCAGTTACTCAGTTTGGACTTCTGGTGTCATTTAAGGCATGGTTTTGAGAGTTTTCAGACACTGAGTTTTTATATATTTATCTGTCTTGCTGATGGTAAAGCTAGGGATTTGAGTACATCTTACTCATTAAAGGAGGAGGGAACTCTTCCAGCCCTAAGAAAGGGTAGAAGTGAGGGTTGGTTTGATGGGAAAGCTGGAAGTCTTTCTCTCCACTGCCTGAGATTCATGGCCAAACTTGTTTTTCAGTTCTCTTTCAAATGCAGAAGTGGCTCCAGGGAGCACCCCAGCACAGATCTATATGACTGATACAAGTAAGCGTTACATGAAGACGTTTACACCTATAGAGGACTGACTAGACGTAGTCTCATGCTGTTTCACAGAGGATGTGCATCTTCTGACTGTGAACCTATCTGTCTCTTCTTACATAAGGAAAGGTGATAGCAGGAGATGGGCAACAGCCTTATGGGTAGCTAGGAATCGGTATCCTTGCCTGCTTTCTGGTGGCAAAAAGTTTTTCTGCCTAGGAAATTTGCCACCAGCTAATTCTAGCTGGTTTACAACTGTTTTGCACTGTTTATGCAGCCAGGAGATGCCTCAAGTGGACTGGAAAATACTAATTAACACCTTACTAATTTTACAAGTTATGTTTTACATACATATATATATATATCTATCTATCTATCTATATAGAAAAGCTGTCACAGCTCTTGAACCAACCCATTTCAGTTCTGTCTCAGGCAAGGATAGTTGGGAAAAATCTAGATGAAAATATTTCTCTGATGGTTTGATTAAAAAAGCGTACCGGTATATGTGGCTGTTCAGGTACTGGGAATGTTAAAACAAATCTTGGGTGAGCTAGACTAGTCAGCAAGGCAAATGTCAGATGGTTAAATGTCCATGGTAATTTTTTTTAAGCCATTTCACCATTTGGCATGTGGCTTTGCCTCAAAACAGGAGTACCACTTCAACATACGTTAAGTGTAGGCTTGTTTTGTACAGATTGCAGTTTTACCTCAATGTGTTTCTCTTGCTGCTAAATACAGTCCAGAAGAAGACAGTAACTCCATCTGCAGTGTTTCTTCAGTACTAGCTCCTATGTTAAAATCCTATTTGGCTGTAAAAATACTGCCAGAGAGGGCTATGACTGAAGTATAATTCTCTCATATCTTGGTATCAAGAACGTTTTTAAAAAAAGTTCTGAAGTTTGAGAGAGAAGGCTTTTTGGATGTACTGCATCACACAGATTAGAATGGGGGAAAAACAACTTCAAGAGAATCGTTTAGGAATTAACTCAAAAGGAGTCTTGCCATTGACCTCAGTATGCACTAGATCAGACATACGTTGCAAACATATTTAGCTTTTTTCTTCTCAAGATAGAGGAAAACATTATTATGAATACCGCAAAATTGGCAGTTTGCAAACATCTTAACTGTGATTTTAGAAAGTAAGGTGCTATTAGATAAGCCTGTTGCTTATCTGTGAACAGATAGATACCAGTATTCGTTATCAGTATAGTGGCAGATGAAACTAGTTACAGAGTTCAGACCAGTTCTGGATCCTTTTCATACACCGCTGCTAGAAACAAGTTCTCTCTAGAACTCCCAGAATACTGAGGAACAAATTTTGTTTTTCCTTTAAAAAAAACACCAGATTCAAGACACTCTGTGAAGACATTTATCAGAAATAGATGTTCTCTTACCCCTCTGTACAAGCTGTTGTCCACATTCCTCAATGCATATTTTACAGGCTTATTTACACACACAGTCTCTTTTTCCCCCCGTCAATAAAAGTACATACAATGTTATTCAGCTAAATTTAAATTTGCCAAATGTTCTTACCAGTGACGATAAAAAAAGAACGATTTAAGAGGGAGGTTGTGTCTTGGGGGCAGCAGGGGTCAGAAAGAGTCCCTGTTCCTCTGTGATAGCATCTATATTTTAGAATGGGCAGGGGAATGCGTGAGAGTCCCTTGGTGCTGCAATACTTCTTGTTCCAAAATGCAGCTGGATGCAAAAACAAGCACTCATGCCAACTGCTACAAACTTGGATATTCTTACTCATCAACTTTAGCATATTAGCCCTAATTGCATTTAGACATTTTCAAGGTGGCGTTGCTAGAGCGTGAGTAAAGACTTATTTGTGTGCTGAATGCTCACCAGGATATCCTCCAACAAAGACAGGGTCATTAGTGTCAGCTGAGGTCGAGGCTCTGTTTGGGCTGTTACCATCCACCTGGCTTCCATCCACAGTCAGCTCTAAACGGTGTTTGATCTTGTTTGCAAGAACCTTGTGCCACTGTCCATCGCACAAGCTGCCTGGTGCATCAGGCTCATAGATAGCAGAAAATCGGCCCGCACCATTGTCAACATGAAACATTACCTGAAAACAATGACATGAAAATGAGCTAATTCTCAAAGAAGTTCTGCATAGTTTGGTAAGCTAGCTCTATAAAAAAAGAAGCATAGCTTTAAAATAAATGCAGATTATTTGTTTATTTTTATTATATCTTTGTCTTTATAATTTTACATCAAGATGCTCTGTTGATTGCACACACTAAAGCTTCATTTTAATAGGAAACTCCATTTGGTTGGATTCCTGTACCCCTGCACCAGTCTCACTGGGGTCTAGACTATGTTACTCAGATAAATGTTAGTGGAAATATACAAAATTGTTGTATAGTTTGTCATTTTTCAATTTTTTTCTTGGTTTTTGAGGGCCCCAGAAAACTCAGCTCTTTATAGCGATGGACTACAGACTCTGAAATAAGATATGCACAAGAAACCAGCAGTATTAATGGCAAAGCATCTTCTCACAGCTTGCATTTTCTCACTGATTTAAGTCCTGATGGTGTAGTTTTAGGAAGGTCAAGTGTTATGGTATTTTTTTTTTTAGGTACTGTGATCTTTTAAAATGTTTTACATCTTAGTAAAAGTATAAAAACCTCATGATTATGGAAAGTGGCAAATGTTGCATATAGGAGAGCCCTGATACTGACTAAGATGTCTTGAGATTGGGGCAGTAAACTAACATTTAAACTGTGTTTTTTAAAAACAATCTCTAAAAAGAGCCAAAAATGCTTTGTTACTCACTTTCCCGTCTACTAGTTCAATGCCAAGCCCATCCATTTTCTGGCTGCTAATTCCTAGAAGAACACCATTCATCTGCGTTGTACGGAATTCAAATTCCACTAGCAAGTCTGTTCCCACTTTGTATGCACCAACTGGGAAGAAAAAGGTAATATAAAATGAAGAAAAGCATTTAATACGTTATTGCTGATAATCACACAAAGTGTATTGACAGTAATGCAAGATAACTCGGCACTATTAATGAATCCATTTCATGTGAAATCCTATAACTAACACTTACAGTGGCTGTACTTAGTGTGAGACCTTGCTTAGAAAGCCATACAGTCTACCATGAGGCAGTATAATAAACATGGTAAGTAGGATTTTCAAACTACTGGTCTCACTTTGCTTCCATTGAAGTCAGTAGGAGTAGGCAGCACTGAAAGCTTTTGAAAATACCATCTCCTTTTTCTTTGTTCTGTGTTTATCAGTAAAATTGCTGTTCATTACCTGTTCTGGCAAAACCTGTTCCATCAAAGTATGTTCCTTTCTGTGCAGTGACAAAGCATTTTCCAACATTGAAGCTAGAAGTCGGATTATCCAGGTCAACAGGTGATTCTGTCATTTTAAAACTTCTGATACAGCCAGCAATGCTATAGGTGACCTGCATTCAATATTTCAAACAAAAAGTTTTAATGTGCAAAGCAAGCTGAAGTGCTAGTAAGAAGGGCCCGAATTATGTCATCAAAAAGCACCTTTCCTCTGCTTATAAATCTACTGGATTTATGGAGCTGAATAAGACTTGAATTTTACATCACTAGTCCTTAATACCTGATTGTAATTGAAATCTAATCTCCATCACACTGAGGATGAACTACATTACTTTTCAGAGATGTGATATGAGTCACATCTATTTGGCTTAATGGAGGGGACTAAAATAATACACTGCATAATGAAACATAGCAAATTACATCAGCAAAGCAGAAATTTAATGGCCCGTACTTTACCTTTTTAATTGACTAGGTTATGGGGTTTGTAGTAGACAAAGATACTGGATATATTTCTCGGGGCTGCTGGTAATTTTTCTAGGGTTTTTTCTGCTTTGATCACTTTACTGTGGGTCTAATGTTGCATGGTAAGACTGAGGTAATGCAGTACATGCCTGCTAAAATGAACAGTAAAGGTTTTTGGCTGTACATGGTTCTCCATTTATGTAGGACTGCTTTTCCTAAGCAAAATAGCCATTCTGCTGGCCACAGAGACAGGCAGAAGCAAGGAATGTGCTTGGGCATATGGAGGCTGCCAGACAGGACAGCAAACCGCAACTTTTGCTTGGCTTCTGCACTGACAGCACGTTACTGCACCTATGAACATGTGGCGTACTTAAGCTGGTGGTGGAAGTGAAATCCTGCCTGGGGCAGGAGTGAGGGACTGCCCAGGCTGACACCATGGGCTTGTCCTGGGGCTCAGCTGCATGACGAGTGCATGCCGGGGGCATCTCTGAAAGCATCCTTGCTCTGGGAACCACTTCCGAGCTCACCCTCCTTTTTCTCCCTGAGATCTGCAGAAGCTGTATTTTGGTTCTCAGCTGGATATGAAGGCTTTGGTATGTGACTTAGTGAGGAATGCTTATTCCAGATAATACTGGGGGAGAGGAAAATATATACTAAGTACTGTGAAGAAGAAAAGGAAGACCTATTCATAAGCAACATGGTAGGGGAAAAGAAAGAAACAACATATAAAATACAGTGTAGAAATACTTACAAATGCAGGCAGGGAAAAGGCACATCTGCAGAAGAGGGACGTTTTGACTATGCACACCACCTCCTCTAACAATATTCCTGACTCCCAATTTGAGAGAATTTCCGAAGCTTTCACTTAAAACTGTCCCTTTCCTAATAAATCAAAGCTGCATATACTGTGGTATTGTAGCATATTGCTATTAGAAAGACCAATACAAAGTTTTCATGAGAACTTTAGAATCTCACTGAATACAGTCATTTCTGGTTTGAGCAATGGTTTCTGTCAGATTCTTCATAAATAGCCTTTTTTTCTAATTTCTAAATGGAAAACATCTCCAAATCAACAAGTTTTGGTACCAAAAAATTGAATCTTGCTAACTTTAGTGTGAGAATAAATCACAGAAATGTAAGATCTTAAACAACTCTGATAAGATGCTCTAACTTTAAAATCTCACCTTCCCTACAGAAAGGCAAATTGGTTATACTTTAGCATGATAATATGCTATATAAAATCTTTTGCAGAAAGTGGAGTTCCAAGTGCCTAAAATGTGAAGTCTGCTGAAGTCAAACAGGTAGGTATCACTTCTGCACTGAACAGAGAGCCAGCCCACCTACTGTTACGTGTTAGATTAGTGTCTAAAAAAGGTTGATGTATGTTTAGTAGAAAGGCCTAACTAAGATAATACATGCTTTCAAGTGATTTTGCTTCAGAGACTTTACAGCAGCCTACAGCACAACATTCTATTAATACAGCATGTGATATATTTTACTGAGAATGATTGAAAGGCAAGCACTGCCTTTTACCTTCTGTGAGCGATGTTTAAAGTTGCAGCTTCATTTAAAACCCAAAGCATAAAAGACTGTCAGAATCTGACAGGACTATTATTGCTAGAGCCATTTGTCTGCATGGGTTCCCTCTGTTGCTTCTGGCACGGAGTAATAGGCAAGGATCTAATGTCACCTATCTCCTTAGATTAGTATTTGTTAATTGCAGCTGTATTTCAAAAAAACATGGTTTGATAGTATTAGAAATTATTTGTTATGGGTAGTTAAATATTTCTTTGTGTTCAGTGCCTCAGAGCTGTTTTGGTAAATCCAAGTGGTCAGCAGATCTGTCTCAGTTGGGTCCTTCTACACAGTCCAAAATTTGCTTGGCAGTACGATCTTAAAGGTCAGTTTCTTAATGGAATACTGACTCTCCGGTTTAGAATAATTACTCTTCCTCTTCATTCTCTACCCTAAAGTTATTATAGTGACTTGTTTAAGCAGAATTTAGGAGTTCTTCTATTGTATTTATTGTGTCTGTTCTAATTGGTTGACTCTTGCGTGTCTATAGAAGGGTATTTGCCATCCTGTAATAATCTTACTAGAATGGTATTTACTCACATGCGATTTCTTTGAGAGTTTGGATTTCTTGCCAGGATGTGTAATTTTGCCTGCTCTTTACTCATTCTGTATAACCCTACAGAAGGAGCCTAGATGTAGTTGCTGCTGATATGCCATTTTTCAGTTCACTCTTATGCTGCACAATATGCCCGACTTGTTTGCTGTAATGACGCTGACTCAAGTTCTGACTTTCTAACTTGAAAGACCCCTCTATCCAGAGAGAAAAGTAACGCAGGGAAGAGTTTTTCTCTAATTCTGATACTGGCATGTGTTTCATGCCAGAAGGGAGGAGCAGCAGGAAAGAGAGATGACTGACACGGAGTTGTCTGGATAGGTGCAGTAAATGGCCTCGGTGAGAAGACAGTGTGTTCCCTTTTTAATCCCACAGAGTTTAGGCCAAGAATGGTATTGATCTCTCTGGGATCTCCATTTGCCCAGATATCTTTTTAGTCATCATGGAAGCTTGGCATTTAGAAGGCCTAACAATTTAAAATAACTCAGTGATAAATTCATGTATAGGCATTTGATTTGGAAATAGAAAGAGGACAGCATAGATTTCATGGTCTTACTTGGAAATGAATTCTTTCCTAGTTTAATAAAAACAACACAAGCCAATTAACTGCAGTAAGCAGCAGTACCTACCGGGTACTTTGTCCAGCATAATTTTGACTTCTACTTTTTTTTTAAGGAAAGTTCACAGTTCATTAACACTTATTGCTAGGTGAATTATACCCAAGAGAAAAGGCAAGTGGAATTTAAGACCTTATCCTTTCTAGCTAAGTGGGGATTGAAGTGGATACAAGTGTATGGATCTTTCTTCTTCTCCATAACAATAACTTTGCTATTTCTAGTTTTTTTGTATTGGGCTCTGAGTCAGATCCTTCCACTGAAGGCATTTAGCATGCCTTCAGTAAGATCCATTTTATCAGTATTCTTGAGTATTTGGGGCTGGGGGCTGGGGGTAAAACAAACTAGAACTGGGAAGACAGCGGTACTGATCAAGACATACTTAAGGAGTATGGGATAGCATAGTAAGTAGCTTAGCTTAAACTTACTTACCGGACCGATTCTTCTAGTTGTGTAGTTAACTGGCAGTCCTCCAATATACAGCGTTCCTACAACATCTAATATATCGGCTTTCTTGGGACTAACAGTTCTGTTTGAAACACCATCTACTATAAGATTTCCTTCTTGCTTGGTTCGAAATATCTTTATCTAAAAAGAAACACAAATGTAATACAATTACAGACAGTTTTCTGATAACAAAGTGTTTTCAGATTTCAACTAACTGTACGGTCCAAACTGTGCAACAACAAGGGAGAAAGTAGTAGGAGCAATCAGCAGTAGCAGTGTGGTAGCAGCTATGGATAATGTTTCTGGAACAGAACTCTCCCGTGCAAGCCTCTGTGCAAACACGTGCCTGCCTTTTAATTAGATCCATGTCGGGGGCATCCTGACTAATATTTATTAGAATTACTAAGAGGATTAGGGGGTTCCTTTTGACAACGCAATTATTACTATCATAGGCATGCTACAACATTCCTTTTTCTAGAATCAGGTAATAATTTTAAGTGCTAGGAATAGTAAATCCTGAATGTTAATGGTACCTGTTACAAAGCTTTATTGCAGCACATGATTCCAGACAATACTGAGTTTATGATTCCATTAGTTTGGACGTGCCTGAGATCATAGTTCTACCTCTAACAACCATAGGCCAATTTCTCTCTAAAGAGTTTCACTGAAATCTCTACAGATCAATATAATAATGGGGTGCATACAAAAAGGATTAAATGTAAAATGCAACATGTATACTAGCAAATTTTAAAACAGCATAGTAGTTAGCTCATCACAGTAGCAGAAAGAAAGAATCAGCATTTTCTTTGGCTTTTCTTTAACATGGCTGCTCCTCCTTCAGTGTAGCAGCACATCTGTCATGAAACAGGAGTTACTGAATATTGACAGTGTGGTTTGGAGGCAAGGAGCTTGGTGTTTATACACAACTGTAAATTTGAGATGGACAGCAGGAGGATTTGCTGAGCGAGAAAGGAATTGGGAATGGACACTTGCACATGGGACCTAAAGAGAGAGAAGAGCTGTGATGAAGCAGCAGCATGGTGTGGCACAACAGTGGAGTCTGTCAGGAAAGCTTTAACCAGTGCTGTAGCTTCTGTAGGCCTGATGGATACGTTTCTACCCAAGCCATTTCAAATGGAGAAAAGGTTCTCCTTTAAGGAATTATTTTAAGGAAAAGCCCTGCTTTCTCAAACAACACAAATTGTTGCCTTTTATTAGAAGAGGTTATCTCTTCTTTCCCCATCCCAAAATGGATATTCTTGTGCTTTTGGGGAACGGTGCCTTTCTCAGTTTGTCTCTATTCTCTCCTACAAAAACGGGATTTACAGCAAGGTTCCATCTCTCACAGAGTGCCAGGCTGCATGCTCAAAGAGCGTAGTCTCGCGTTAAGAAATATATGCTCCAGTTAGTGCTCTTCGAAAATAAAGAAAATGGGGCTAAAAGAGCAAAACACATCTTTGTTCTGTATCTGTAGAGGGTCTAGCACAAAGGAGCCCTGGTGCACTGTCAGGGCCCCTAGGCATTACGTTAAACAGATAAATAATGACTATACACTTATTTTTTCCCCTGACGAAATAGCTTGATTTAGAAATTTGCTACCATCAAAAAATTCCTGAATAAAAATCCAATAAAAATAAAATTTCCATGGAACCGGGTGGAAGTGAAGCAGGGACGGACTAAGGATGTCTGCAAAGAGGGTGATGAGAGTTATTCAAGCATAACAGAAAATGCAAGTAGAGTTTTTCTCATTTGATGATAGGGATGTAGATGGTGACTATCCAAACATCTGTCTAAAATCTGAATTCTCTTACAGCATATAACTTGAATACAATAACTTGAATACCGATTTTCTTTTCTTCTTTCTCATTATTGGTACCTTCGAGCTTTTATTGGGCTTAATGAATAACTGTGTGTCTATTGCCCTTGGCCCAGTAAATGCTACGCTTCGTGGTTGTGATACTATGTCTTCCCTTATCATCCAAAAGCAACTGGCATTCTATATATTGATAAATGCTTTCTCTCGTAAAGCCACATAAGGGGCTGCCAAATACATCTATGAATATCATATTCATTCCTTAATGAGTTGAATTAATAATGCAGGAAAAATTTACTGAAGTTTTATTTTCTTCTATGTTCTTAGCATTATGACTGAACAGTGACATTATTAACACTTACGTATCCAGTGATGATGAGGTGTTACTCACCTGAGTCATATCAGGCAAGAAAGAACATTTTCTGCAGTTCCTTACTTCACATGGGGCATATTCTAAGTATGTCTAGAAATATGTGTTTCCTGAAGGACACATTTCAAAGGCGAGCACTAACTTTTTTGTTAGCAGAATATGTACTGTGTAAAACATATACTTAACACTGCATCTGGAAGTACCAATTTTGCAGACTCCCAAAAGTGCCTAGTTAAAAGTTTGGCTTGTATAGACTACATCTTGCAAATATCTTAAAGTAAGACAAATATCTCTTAGTGTTACAGGGAGTAATTTAGACTACTATAGACTATTATACCTTGTGCCACTGGCCATCATTTATTTTGTTGGGAATCATTGTGTTGGTGTCTCCACTGCCTAGATCATACGTGAAGTAAGGTAGTCCATTCTTTATTTGAACAGCAGCAAAATCAGCGTGGTTAATGCGGGCCATATAAAAGAGCAAGCCAGCATCAGCCATTGTTCGGACTTCAAATTCAATTGTAAGTCTGAAAAACAAACAAACGAGAAGGCAGAAACAAAGGAAAAGATATTCAGAGTCAGACGTAGACAAATTTATCTATCATCTGCTTTACTTCTTTATATTCCTTTAACAAAACTTAACAGTTAGTGGCCCATTTTACTTGTCTATCAAAGTTTAAGAAAAATAATTTGGATATGTGTGAATTGCATTTCATACATATCTGATCCCCAACATGTAAGTGTTCATTAGTCCCTTTACTGTGGAGATTTAAAAGTGGAATTTCTAGATCTAATTCTCAACTGCAGCTTAGAAAACCCCAGCATTTGTAAAACTCCAGCGGGTTTATCAGTCATCCACACATACGCTTACAAAGAGGAGAAAGCTGTAGTGACAGCTGGCAAATGTTGAGTTTCTAATTAGTTATATTGCCTGAGGACAAGTTACAAAACTTTTAAAGATGAACAGCGAAGAGTTTACAATAAAGATATTAAACACTGTTCTGATCTCTCCAAACAGCAAACGGGGATATGTCTGAGGAGGGGTGCTATCTTGTGAAAATCACTGATCTCTCTTACAGAACTGTAATGTCAAAACCCTCCCCTACAGACAAGCCTTCGGGAGCTACCAAACCCGTATGAACACCAGCAAGTGCAGAACAGCTGACAAGGAGGGTGATGCCCCTCCTCACATGAGATGCATTTATTGCATTTGTAGGTCTATCTTCCTTACATCAAAGGACTCAGAATGGGATTCACACTATCTGGATGTTAGGGTTGTAGTGGCAGCAGATCAGTAGCCTAGCCCAAGTTGAGCTACCAAGTAAGTACCTGAAAGTAGTTAATAATATAAACAGGAGAAGTCATTCCGTGAAAACAAGTCATTCTTATTTGAAAATAAAACATGCAAGGACTATGAGATTATATATTTATGTTGATTTTCTTAGTTTTCTGAAACTAGTATAAATGAAAAGATGCAGTATGGAAACTTCATAGGTAAAATAAGTGGGAAGAGACTTGTAAATTAGTAAGGCTGCAAAAATATTCACTGGTGTTATATGGCGCTGATCATGTTAATGATCATGTGCCTTCATAGCAAAAATGAACAATTAACAAGTTATTTCTTCACAAAGTCATTGGAAACAGCTGCATTTTTAGAAGCAGATTTTGGAATTCCTTTGCATGTCTGTGTGTATATGCATACATAGTTATACTTTAGGAGGATAATTGTCATTTTGCCTGGTAATTGTGCAAGTTTAATTTTAACTATCAGAATAAAGAGAAAGAAAGTTTGCTTATGACATGATAATTTCATGTCAGTGAACGAAGAATCTTCCTTCCAAAAAGCAACCTGTTAACTCAGTTGTGTGAAGCAGTTGCACGTTCTTCCATTTGTGTTACTTTTTAAGTCAGTCCAGGATTTGTGTGTATCTGAGTCTTCTTTGCAAACAAAGAAGTAAACTATGTTTGCAAGAGCTACGGAGGTGGACTTGCCTAGATTTCATGCCTAAATGCTATTTATGTTCACTAAATGACATGAAATAGACACGGGACATGATCTTCTTCAGATAAGACCCATAATTTGGGGAGAAATCTTTTGAGAATATTTAAGGGGAGACATTTTATCTGATAATAAACCACCAAAACTTATTGTTGAAGTAAATGATATACCTGTTTTTCACTTTGGTGTCATCAAATGCAACTGCAATATGGCTGTTCCTTGAAAGACCAAATTGCTTGCCACCTTCCAAAATGGCTGGTTCTGTGTCAGCAGCACAGGAATCCTGCAAAATATACACTGATCATACAAACTTCATGTTCTGTATCTCAGCTGGGCACATGCTGGAAGTCTTTCAACTGCTCAGGAATTAGAGTACGTTACCTATTACAGACACTGGCCCTGCAACTTTTCAGTGTGTTGATGTCTCATCACATTAGCTAAAGTTACAAACCAGTGTAACAGGAATTCAGCTTAAAAGCAGAACTCATAAAGCTGGCTGTGAAAGCAAATACAAGTAATATATGAAGAGGGCTGCTTTCATGCCATCGGCGGATGTTTACAAGATTCCTAGGTGCTTTCCAGGCAGCTCAGTTTACTCTTAGCTCACATAACTCTTGAGTTTTACACATTAAGATGCCCTCTAACAGAAATGAAGCACGACTTAAATTTTAAAGGGATGCCATTCTGTTGACTTGAAATCTAGCCAATTGAAAAATAATGAGTTAAAAGTAGTTCCACTTCCTGCACCTGGCAATGAGTCCGCTGTTCTCCTTTTTCATACTGTTTTACAATTGTATTCTTTGTTTAAAGTGCTGTTGTTTCCACTGTTCCTGTTGAAAGGCCCACACAAACAATAAGGGAAGCTGACTAATTGATTTATAGAAGAAACAAACAACTGTTAAAATCCTTGAGCCGTCTAATGCATAAATGTTACCTGCTGGGGAAATAAAGAAGGCCCTCTCTCTCTTATCTGTTTCATTTATATTAATCTTAAAGTGATACTTTAAAAATAAATGGAAGGCAAAACATCTTCTGTCCAGTATAATTTTCTCTCTTTAATTTGACCATGTCCTTTAATGTCTGGCTCTGAAGCTCTTGCATATGTCAGTGCCAGGGTCCATGAGAGACCATGATAATTACCAGCTCCTATTCATACCTAGCTTTTGCCTCCCATTGAGAATACTTTGAAGAAACTGCTCAAAGGATCCATCACAGCACAATATCAGGACAACAATACCACAGAAAAAAGCCAAACTTTGATAGCTGTGAGCTCGTTTTTAAAGGGCTGTGGCTGATATAGTTTTGGATTGGTGACAATCTCTTATTTGAACCCTGACTCAGCAGGGACCTGAAAAGCACAAGGTGCAGCGCTTTGCTGACAAAGAGCCCTTTCTGTGAAGCATTTTGAAAATGTCATGAGTGAATCATCAGGCACTGAGATTTCAACTGCAAAGAGGAAATCTCAGTGCCTCAGTGCCAAAATGGAAATTTCTGTCTCCTTCTCACTCAGTTTTTCAGTAGTGTCATTTTTTTTTCACACGTCACAGATCTTCTCAACAGTATAGAAAATTAGTTTTCCACAAAGAATACTCTCTTTTGAATATGACAGAATACAACAGCATGCATTATGACAAATACACATCACTATGTGACTAAAAGTTATGAATGTGTGATAGTAGTCTTCCAGTGATCATCAAACGGATAGAAAAAGAATCTTATCCCATAATGCTGGATAAAGTTCCCAGTTAGTTTAAGCTTTACAACTTTATCTGGTAATTTAACTTCCTCAATAGCATTTCGGCTTTCTTACATTTGGAGATTGGGACTACCTACCAGTGCTGGACCCAGCAAGGAATGAACAGTACACAAGCACATACTTTCTTGTTGCACACTGTTACATATTACATGGTAGGAGGACACACAGTGGCATTAAATTGACTCCCAGGCTGCTTTAGGTTAGGAAAAGGCCTGGCCCTGATGCCTTAGCTGCCCCTAGCATCAGCAAATACTATTGGTTTTTTTTTCATGCTCGCTGGGGGACTGTCAGCACAAGGAACGGGGGACGGCAGACCAGTGATGCTTGGAATCGTAGCAAGCACACACTGAGTATTTGCTGATAAATACTGATCAATAATACTGAACATGGACTGGAATGATGTGGATATGTTGGTAAAAGAAAAAAAACACAACAGGGCACGCTTAAAAAAATTCCATGCTCTAGTCATAAGCCTGTCTCTGCTTTTATTTTAGCTAAGGACAGCGAGCTCTATAGCCTCACAGGAATGTGAACTAAGCATGGATGATCAGCCTAAGGCTTATTGGTTCTGTTTTTCGTTAATGGCCTTAAGGTGTCTACATTTAAACTGTTTAAAAATCTCCCATTTTACCTCAGAGTCTCAAGACTGAACTGGTCAACTAACCACTTTATCTCAGTCCGTTCAGATGACTTGACTGGTTAAAAACTATGTGTGTATCAGAGTAGCAACGACAAACAGAAAAGCGCACTGGTGGGCTGTTTCACACATTCTCTACACACAATGCTGTATTAGCAATCACAAAGCAAGCAATTTATTAGGAAAAAATTAAAAAAAAAAGGAGCACCACTGAAATAACAGCACCACAGCTCATCCAGTAGTGTTAACAAAACAACTAAGGAATGCTTGGGAAAATGCTGGAAGATACCGTCACGGAGCCAAATGGAGATGCAATGCTGGCACTCTTCATTTCAGTGGCAAGCGAATCCTGAGAAGCAGTAAATAATATGAGGCAGAAGCAGCAGTTACCCAAGCACAAGTCTCAAGTAAGAAATGCTTTAGCACTTGTAGCAGCCAGCAGCAGCAGACTGGTGACCACTGTATTTCCCAACTACCCTACTCCTAGAGCTTGTTTTGCCTTTAGCAGAAGAGAGTCTCTTCATTTGGGATTACGCTTCCCCCATGCAGATGGATGATAGAGACCTAAAGCATGTCCTAAAAGGCCTAATCCTCTTTTAGTCTTCTACGTGGAAGCAATTCTTTTCCACTGTGTATTTACCAGATACAGTCTTTTCACAATGGGATTCTGTATAGCTGATTGTCATATAATGAGTGCTACCGTCATAACCGTGGCTATTTATTTTGTTGCAACATTCCAGAAGAACACTTAGGAAAATTTAGTTTAACATAAAAAATATTAAAAAGCTTGCCTTATCTGAAGTACTTTCAAGTCTGAAGAATACAAAAAAAGCTGTTTTATTTTTCCAAGAAAGAAAGTCGAAGAGTGCCGTTTTATTCAGATGTTTATTTTAAACACCTATTTCAAGTCATCATGGTTCTAGATATCTGATATATAAAACTTACTTATCTACTTACAATAGGACTATTTTCTGATACTAACGAGTAACTGTCCCTATCAATTTTGCCATTTAAAAGTCAGTGCTTAGAGCTTTAGAAAGTACACTGTTGTCTCTGGCTTTTTTTTTTTTTTAATTTTGTTCTGATAATGCATCAAGGGACAATATCTGATAGCCTGAC